TGAAACAGTGGGAACCGGTTCTCAACAAGAACCGATTTTCGATACCCATCCCTACCTGAAAGTATACACCGCAACAGTGTCAGACAACTTGATGTCACCAGTGAGGGCAGCACACATTCCAGAACGTTGTGATCACATCACCACACATTGACCCGGCCCAGCCTTCAAACCCCAGCCAGTCTATTTACAAAATCAGCAGCTGCGTAAGGCAGGAACTATTTGTGGCCTTGATTCTCTGTTTTGGCCCTCTATTTAATTTTCACCGGAACTATGGGGCACCTGTGAACATTGTTATGTGCATGCTTAAAATCCACACACAATAACTCCACCAAAGCTCAGGTTCTGAACCAGGTTCTGGTGGATCAGTGACTGTCTACAGCCTGAATCCACTCATGCCTGGCGTATACTACTACTGCCCATCACCCCTCCCAGGGTATGGGCTGCCAAAGGTAGATCTCCAGAGATTTCTTCCGATTTGGTGTATACCCCATATACCTCATTGCAGTCTTACTGGATGGTATATGTTCATCCTGAGCCTTTGGAGAGCTAGTGGCCCAGACCACCTGACCAACCTCTTTGAATGTACACTCATTCTGGAAATGCCTGGGACGGGTGGCAGGTGTTTGTTCTGCAGGTTGGGTACAGGTACATGGTAGCTAGGCATGATGGCCACATCCCCACCTATTCTGATGTCTGCAGTGGAAGCATATAAATGAATATCTGTCACCATCAGCTCCATCAGCCATTGTTCTCATTCAGACTCCCCCAGCTCCAGCCACCTTGGCAGCATCCTTCAGTAGGGTGAAAAACACACAGTCCTGTCTGCTTTGAAAATGGTAAATGTACTGGTATTTATATAGCCCTTTTCTACTCTAAGTGAACAACCAAAGCACCTTTTGCTACTATGACCTTGGAGACCGAAGGTGGAGAGGTTGCCATTCCCAACCGGGACAGCAGGTTCTGCAGCAGCTTGGTCTACTTGTCCAACAAAGCCTGCAGCGACTCTAGGTGCTTAAACCCATGCTTGCTCTGGGTGCCACACAGCCATTTCAGCTAACATTTGCACCAGTGATGCTACTGGCTGCACCATTTATTACTCAGATGTCATCTAGTGGATACCTTAAGCACCAGTGTGGCAATAGCTAGTTCTGCTAATAAGGATGAGGGTCAGCTTGTGATTCGTTTAGATATTTATTTGACACACTTTCAAATCAATTCAATAACATTCAGTTCAATTTTATTTTTTTTTAAACACCAAATCACAACAACAGTTGCCTCAAAGTGCTTTATATTGTAAGGTAAAGACCCTACAATAATTCAGATAGATAAGTATTAATATCCTCCTGCACAGCGATAAATATAAGAATATAATTTAGTCTTGACATTTTTATGGCTTGTTACTGGTATGCTTTCTTGGCATAAGCCTAAAGAACCACAGAACCCTTCCTGTACCGTGTGATTCCTGGCTCAGTTTGTCATAAAATAGTTCCTACAGGTGAAAACTAAAAAGGGTGAGTTGGTATTTGACTGAATAAAAATAGCTTGGAATGGACCGGGATTGAGATGTAATGTATTTTGGTTAAATTAAGGGCAAGTATGATTTGTGATTTGGGCTGTACCTCTGACTCTGAAGGACAAGTCATTAAAAAGGACATCCACAGGCATCGGATGTTTTTATCTGTCTTCAGAGTTGAGCTAAAGCTTCAAATACAGCTGTTCCCAAAACATATTGCAGCAATTTGTTCGTATTACCAAATATATATTAAAAAACAAACAACAACAACAACAGCAAAACAATATTCACCTATACTTAATACTCTAACTCTGGGTATTTTAGCATAGGGGTTAGAGCTAGAGCTCTACACTTGGGCAGGTACCGTTCACAGCTGAACCTTAGCATTCCCAAATAAGGGAATGCATCTTCAAGTTTTAAGTACAGATATAATGTATATTTTGTTAGATATTTTACAAACATCTATGCTCTTTTAGAATAAAATGCACAGAATCGGGTTTAACTTTCAGTTTGACATGAATCACATGATTATAACAGGGCTTCTTTTTCCATATATTGTATTGCCATGAAGATTGTTCCACCATTTTCACTCCAACAAGCTTTTGCATGCTTCAACTTGTGTCAGTTTTGGATTTATGCCCACTGTCCATTCTGATTCTGTGCTGATAGCAATAGAAGTGAGAGTCCATGTTTTCCATTTCTCAATCTGTATTCTCACCTGTACTTGTGTTCTTGTAGATTATTGAGCATCCTTTAAAAACTTATATATAGCCAAGTTCTAATTAAATCATTATCTTCTGCTGATTCAAATATGAGAAATCTGCCAACAGCTAAGCTTGAGGAATGACTGGTCATGACTTACCTGAAACAGGAACAGATGAAATGCAAACTAGAATAAATTTTGCTGTGATGCTCATGAATTTGGGTTAGGGTTAGGCAGGAAAATACAATGTTAGTATGGTGCATTATGTATTTACAATGCTGCTTGAAACCATACCTACACTCCATGTGAATATTGTCTTATGGTCATCATTTCATCCCTTTAAAAACTCTTTTCCAGCACTTTCTAAATTGTTGTCACCTACAGACAACACACTAGGCACATAAAATGTATGCTTACTTCTTACTTCCTGAAACTTCAGAAACACTATGCAGGGACCCTCTGGAGACAAAACCCCACTTAGTTATTTAGTTATTCAGCTTAAACAGAAACGGATAAAATGAGTCCCTTAAATAGTTTCTTCTCCCTCGTTTAAGTACCTGTTAAGCAAACATACCTGTAGTGGAGTTTTTGATTGTAGATAATTTTGTTTCAGTGCAGTCAGGTACTGACGTGTTGACATGTAACATTTACCAAGAAAGCTGTGGTTCTATTTTGAAATTGCCCTTCTGTCCCTAAGGATTTATATTCCTGAGGTAAATTTGAGCTCAAGAACACAAGTCGGTGCTTTGATTTGAGAAAGGCTCTTTGTCCATCCCATTCTCACAGGTTCATCAATATAGAGATGAAGTCAGTGAAATTTAAAGACTCTCTGTTTGAAGACTGTCACTTTGAGAACATCAGGTCCTCTGAAACAGTGTTTGAGAACTGCACCATCTACTCCACTGTCTTCTACAACACAGGTAAGTTTGAATGGGACAATTTGTTGGAATTGGTTGCAGCTTTGGTATAGAAACGAATGTGAATGTGAGTGAAAATGGTTTCTACCCCTCAGGTATGAAAGGCTGATAGGGCATTATTGTTACTCTGCTGGGCGGGCAAGTGGATAGGCAGCACCGTCATCAAAGTTCGTCAATGCAATAACTAGAGAACTTTACATTTTTATAAAGGGTGTCTTTATTGAACGTTATACCTACATTTTCTTTCTTTTAATGTAATGTTAGTCTTTTGGGGTGGCTGTAGCTCAGGAAGAACAGCAGGTCACCTACTAATGGGAAGGTTGGTGGTTCAATCCCTGTCTGCTTCAGTCTCCATGCCAAATATCCTTGGGTGAGAAACTTACCTTAAGTTACTCTCTGATGCATCTATCATAGTATGAATGTTGGATAGAAAGCACTTGCATAGAAAAAAAATGCTTGTGTGGTTGAATGAGGCAAATGTGTAAAGCACTTTGAGTGTTCAGAGGGAGTAGAAAAGTGCTATATAAGAACCAGTCAATTTATAATTTCAATATTTGCTTTTTGGATGGCAGAAGTCCCAGCGATTTTGAAAATATTAAACCAGGGTTTACTCTACTGCTTTCCAATTGTCTGCCTCAAGTGATTTTCATTTAGAAATGTGGTTCCACATTTTTCATTAGTTTGAGAACAGTCACAGGCTTCAGCTAAACATTTTAATCTTTTATCACCAAAAATGTATATAATAATTACAATAATTAAAACTGTGAGGTTCTATGTCCCTGTCATTCAAGCCGCAGTTCATAACTACAGTGTTTGCCCCCTTCCTGATTTTCTATTTTTGTGTATGTTTGTCACACAGGTCATTAAACAAATGTAAATATTACACAAAGCTAATACAAGTAAACACAGAATATAGTTTCTAAATCTCTAAATCTCTGAGTCAGAAAAAGGTTACAAAGCCATTTCTGAAGCTGTGGGACTCCGGCAAACCACAGTGAGCACTGTTGTAAAACATGGAACAGTGGTGAACATTCCCAGAAGTGACCGGGCACAGAAATTTACCCCATGAACGCAGTGACAACTTATCCAAGATGTCACAAAAGACCCCAGAACAACATGCAAAGAATGAATATATGTAGCTCTGTGTTCCAACATTCAGAAGAAGGAACTGTTGTCATGGCTAGAAAATGATGGGTTACAACACATATTCTATGGCAAGAGGGAGCCAGGACAACGGGGAGGGGAGATATCATCATCACCCCCACCCGAGATTGAGTACCAAGGGCCAAGTACGATGGCAGAAGGATCGTTGAGTGTGAGAGGAATTGGCCTGAATTATAGGATCGTGAAGAAGCTTAAAACCTGGACCCTCCACAGCTGGTTACCAAGATTACGTGAAGTACCCCTGAAGGTCTACTAGACGATGTGAATGCAGCACTATGGACATTTCCCTACTGTGACCATCATCAAGACTAATCAGCTGATCTACACCACGGCAGCAGTAATCAGTGAGATGCTTGAATACAAGATGAACAGCCAGAAGGAGCAGTACCCTCCATGGAGAAGGAGACTAGATTAAAAAAAAAACAAGGTAGCACAAAGGGAGTTGCAGAAAGGTGCAATGAAGAAGGTGCCATAGAAGTACAGCAAGCTGTCCATACCTGAGGCCTTGTGAACTGCCAAGCAAAGACTCACCTGAAGAGGTACTTAAGGCAGGAGAATAAACCTGGTGTTTTCCACAAAACTATTCAAGGTATACACTCAAGGTATGAAGTGAAGAGCACTGCAAGAGCATTGGGGGTAGTGGATCCAAGAGCAGACCATAGCAACCTGCCTGAACAGGATCCAGAGATCCAAGAAACAGTTGGACAGCACCAGGCCCTGACATGATTCCCGCCTACTGGCTGAAGAAGCTGACTGCACTCCATTAGTGTCTAGCAGCACAAATGAACCAGCTGCTAGTCAACGAGACACACCCAGAATGGCTAAAACCTTTTACCAGTTGTGTATTGTAAAACTGTTTTCCTATATCTGTATAGTGTAGAACCATGTATCTACTAATATGACTGATAAATCACAAAGTTATAGACAGTTTTTCCGGTTTTTGTTTGTTTATTTATTGTATTTATAGCAGTATTCAAATGCAAAAACAAGTCAATAAACCTTTTAGAGATATGATGAGGTGTCAGTTAATGGCTCTTGTAATTTAGTTTCGAAAACATCTGCAAACACAAAAGCCATTTAAAGTATATTAACACTAATAAGTATATTATATAATAGCCTTTCTGCTCTCTGTAGACCTGTGGGAGGCGAAGTTTACTGACTGTAAGATGGAGAACACCACCTTTGAACACAACAAGCATGGCTGCCACCTAGATACTGCTAAGGAGAATGATGTCCTCATCTACCTGGTCAGCTTCCTAGGCAGTCTGGCAGTGCTGCCAGGCAACATCATCTCAGCTCTCTACATGGAGAAGATTGGCAGAGTAAAGATCATAGGTAAATTATGGAAGTTTGTTTGTAAAGGAGTTAGGAATGCAGTCAAGGAATACTATGTATATTTTTCATATTTTCGTACCGTATGTAAATGTTGTAGAGCTTGTATTTTGTGTTGTATTTATTGCATTTCTGAAAGTTTCTGAGAGTTTCAAAGGGGGTTCCTGGTTAAATAAAGGTAATAATAATGTGTTTTAGTTGTCATCTGAGATTGCGTTTACCCAATTTTAAGACCTCCTAAGGACCAGATTCTTTTTTTTAAATTATATCCTGATACATTAAACTTTAAAATTTAAAGAGGGTATTTTCTTTTTACAGGGAGTGTAAATCTGTGAGTCTGCATTTCAGTTCATTGTTTCATTGCATACCTGTGGTGGCATTCAGAAGCAATGTTGTGTCACTGTCCAAACATTTCTGGACATAATTTCACCTAGCTTCACATCTATATTTGATTATCTTATATAGGCCATGACTTCATATTACAATATTTTAGAACTTATGTTATAATGAACTCTTAATGCATTCTATAAATATGTTGCAATTTATTAAAAATACTGATTCTACAGGATTCATTTCAAAACTCTGATCTCCTTAGGTGGCTCCATGCTGATTTCCGCAGGCTGTACATTTTTCCTGTTTCTAAGCTTCAGCCAATCAGCAATCATTGCACTACAGTGTCTGTTCTGTGGTGTTAGTGCAGCTGCATGGAATGGAATTGAAGTGGTGACTGTGGAACTGTATCCAGCTTCAAAGAGGTACCAGTATTTTTCTTCTTATATATACAAACACACACATGTGTGTGTGTGTGTGTGTGTGTGTGTGTGTGTGTGTGGTTTACTTTATTTTTACTACTTTTTACATTGTAGCTAAAAACTGAAGACATCAAATATATGAAGCAAGATATATGGAATTATGTAGCAAGATTAGGTTCCTGAAAGTAGCCACCATTTGCTCTGTTGACAGAAGTGACAGAACTGAAAATTAGTCGCTCTGGAAAATTTCTAAAACTTTGAATGTCGCTTCTTGAGTGACCTCTGCTGCTAAGGATACATTCATGTGAGTCACCAGCCCCAGAAATCGCAAGTTAACAGCACCTTAGATTAGAGTCCAGAGAGAGTCCACACAGAGTTCCAGTAGCAGACCCATCTCTACTTTAACTGTTCAGAAAAGACTGCACAAATCAGGCTTTTATTGAGTCTTTGTGTGATGCAAAAGGTGAACTGATGGTCTCTACATGTATGTTTGCCACCGTGAAGCATGGAGGAGGAGGTGTGATGGTCTGGGGGTGCTTTGCTGGTGACACTGTTGGGGATTTCTTAAAAATTGAAGGCACACTGAAGCATGGCTACCACAGCATCCTGCAGCGAATTTCCATCCCATCCAGTTTGCGTTTAGTTGGACCATTATTTATTTTTCAACAGGACAATGACCCCGAACACACCTCCAGGCTGTGTAAGGGCTATTTGACCAAGAAGGAGAGTCATGGAGTGCTGCGCTAGGCTGCCTGGCCTCCACAGTCACCTGACCTAAATGCAATCAAGATGGTTTGGGATGAGATGGAGACAAAAGGGCCAACAAGTGCTCCGGGAACTCCCGGAGCCGGTTCTAGGAACTCCCTTCAAGACTGTTGGAAAAACCATTTCAAGTGACTACCTCATAAAGTTCATCGAGAGAATGCTAAGAGTGTGCAAAGCAGCAATCAAAGCAAAGGGGGGCAATTTGAAGAATCTAAAATATAAAACATGTTTTGAGTTATTTTGCACTTTTTTGTTTAGTGCATAATTCCATATGTGTTCATTCATAGTTTTGATGTTTTCAGTAATAATCTACAATGTAAATGCTCATGAAAAAAAAGAAAAAACATACATATAGTACCAGTGAAAATGGTAGTGTATGTATGTATATATATATGTGTGTGTATATATATGTGTATATATATATATATGTGTATATATGTGTGTATATATATATATATATATATATATATATTATTGTCCCTAAACAATATATATATTGTTTAGGGACAAACAAAATATGGATCAGTGCATCTGATGAGAAATTACAATATCCTCATATCACATATCCAAAGACTTCTTTTTTTAAATCTTTTATTTTTTCTTTTTTGTTGTTGTTGTTGCTCAAATATGTTGCTGGGATCAGATTTAAAATGAGCCTGTGTTTTTTAATCACTTTTTTTTATACTTGCAATTAAAAACTGTACGTGAACTTTAAGTTTTGAGATCAAAAAGTTCCTGAACTCCACCTATTAAACCATAGATCAGTAATTCAGTATGTATTTATTATTTATGTGATTCATCATTGGATCATTGTTCACATTTCTTTATTTTTTTAGGATGATTTATGTATAATATTATTTATGTGTGAAAAAGATTGCACAGCAGTCTTGAAAAAACACAAAACCATATTTTTTCTGTTTGGACATTAAAATGTTAAGAAATGAAAAGTCCTGGTGACAGCTTTATTTTCAATAAGGCTGCTTCAAAATGTCATTCTGTTGTCACTCTTTTCTCTTAGAGCAACAGCTTCTGGTGTGCTGAATGCTCTGTGTAAACTGGCTGCTGTTCTCGGCAGCTCCATCTTTGCTAGCTGTGTGGGAATCACCAAAGCCATCCCTATTCTACTGTCCTTTACTGCGCTGGTGTGCGGCGGCCTTGTAGCCCTCAACCTGCCTGACACGCAACAGAAAATTCTCCAGTGAAGTGATACGAGTGTGCTGAGGTGGGAATGAGGGGGGTAAGGAAGAGGCCAAAACCCATCTACTTCTTGTTGGAGGCTAATGAGTTTACCTTGACTCTGAACTTGAAAAAAGACAAGACTTGGAACAACTCACAACTGTTTATTAGAACAATTTTTTTCAGGTTGGAGGTTTTAGACCAGGAAAAAGCAGGTTTATGTTTTTCTGTATTTCTGTATGAGTCCTTATTGATGCCATGAATCCACTAAGGCAGTTGACATACTAACCATTTAATGATTTGTTTGACTTACGTGGACAGATGTTTTTTGAATGTTTAAAGCACGCGCTGTAATATATTCTGTCTTCCTACCACTATTTACATGCATGTCAGGGGAAAAAAGTGTTATCTGTAATTTGCACCTTAAAAGTTTTTCCAACACTTTTAGCAAATAACCTGCTTGAAATCATGGGACAAAAAGTTAAATAAAGATTTTCCGATTTCAACAAACTCTACTTACAAACATGTAACCCAAACTGTTTACACCATGCCTTAAAGCTTATACATAGTGACTTCACATTTGTGACTACAAATGTGTTAAAACTGTAGTGACTTAAGGCAGCAAAGACAGACTTGGGTAAGCTCTGTTATCAATATTTCATAGCTTAAAAATCTGCTTTAGCTTTTCTTTATACTAAATAAATAAGCTAGTCCTTGTAAACAGTGGCTAAATAACCTAGCTTAACAAACTAGCCCCAGACTGTAACAGATTTTATGTGATCAGTGTGATTAAATCACATACTTCTACATATTAACGTCAAGATTAGGTTTTGATGACAGAAATGTGATGCTGTTGCTCTGTGAATTTTTGCAGGGGTGATCTCACTCATTCCAGTTCCCACGTGTCTTTATGTCTTGTAATGTTAATACTGTTCTAGTTTGGATTTTCACATATGATAATACTGCACTTGTCTGTATATGTCATCTGTAATACACAATCAGTTAATTCACTGGTGATTCTTAGTTAAACTGAAAATATTAGCAACATAAGTGAAATCCCCTTTTCTGAAAGTTTATTTTAAGTTGTTTTGAACTGTTGGTGTCAGTTTTAAGGCAGTGGGATATGGGGATCACTATTTTCAAATATTTTTAACCAGATGTTTGACTGATTCATTGTGAAAATAACCTTCAGATCAACCTCTTAACATCCAGTATATTATTGAAAAACCATCCAGGATTAGGGTCAAGGACAGGAGTAGACTTTGGTAACTTGCATGTTTTTTTTAAGAACTGTTGCCTCTTTTGCCCACCAACATCTGTAAACAGAATTAAGTGAATAACTGTATGGCACAAATGTATGCAACATCATATGAAATGTAGTATCTTCCAGTTTCTGAAAATGTACTTGTTTATTATAAGGATAAAATACAGCCTTTAAAAATAACCCTCATTGTAAACTTGTTGTTTTTAAGAGATTAATCATTAACAAACAGTAATTGTGAGACTGGATGAAGCAGACAAATTTATTTTATTGACCTGCAGGACAGAGAACATTTGAACTTACATCCTCTAGACTGAAGAAATACATAACCTTTAATAGGATCCTAACAAGAGATATATTGGTGATTCTGAAAATGTAATATTTAGGAAAATGGTTCTTCAAGCATTCTGCTTGGCAACCTCTTTGCACTAACCCCTTTTTAAAAAGATTTGGATGATTGTTATTGTTGGATGGTCATTCTTGCAGCATCAATTCACCTGCAGTTTTTAACAGCTCATTGCAATTAACTGAGATTGTCACGATCCTGGGTCTTATGACCCAGCGGTTTCAGTTTCTTGTGTTTTGTCATTTTGTATTATGGTTTTAGTCCACCTTGTTAGTTTAAAGTTTAGTTCTAGTCCCTAGGTTGTTATGTTTAGCTTTTGGTTGTTAGATTTCCCCGTGTCGTTGCTCCTGTGTTCCCTCTGTGTATCTGTGTTCATATAGTTCTCACTTCCTGTGGCTTGTTTCCCCTTGTGTTTTATTCCATGTTTCCCCAGCCCGTTATGCTCTCCCTGTGCTCTCTCTACCCTCCGGTCTGCCTCTGTGTCCTTCCTGTGTTACGTTTAAGGCCCGCGTCTTGGGTCAGTATTTTCAGTTTCGTGTCCTCCCTGTCTTGTTATGTGTAATTGTCCTCAGCTGTGCTGCCCGTGTGTTCCCACGTCTCTCATTACCTTCTGTGTATTATGTCAGAATCTCCCTCTGTTCCGTGTTGCGTCATCCATCAGTGTTGTGTGCGTTTCCCCGTGGCTTCCCTGTGCCTCCCTGTGCCTTAGTTCATCCCAGTGTAGTTTTATATTGCCCTTTGCCATTCTGTTAATAAAGCTGTGTTTTGAATTTATCCCTGCATGCTGTTAGTCCTGCCTTTGGGTCCTCTCCTGCCTGCACACAGCCGGTTCCTGACAGAGATGCTTATGATCAGTGAATATTGCAGTCACATTATTTAAAGTTAATAGAATATTTATCTGTGTATTGAAGTCCAACATTTTGTCTTTTTTGATGTTTCCGCATGAGTACTGTACTGGACTCTACTGGATTACTGTCATGTGCTGGGTCTTTTGACCCAGCATTTTGATTTCATGCCTTTTTGTATTATGATGTTGTTTGTATAGTTTAGGTTTCAGTTAGTTCTGTTTGAGTTCTCTGTTTCCTTGTTTAGGTTCCTCCCACGTAGGTGTCTCTCCCACTATGTTGGTTATAGTGCTGTGCCTTCAGCGTGTGAGTCTGTCATGTCCCTTTGTGTTTTACTTTGAAATTCTCGCGTCTTATGTTCAGTGTGTTTAGTTTGCTTCCTCCTGACTTGTTATTATGTTTATTCGTCCCAGCT